CGACGACGACGACGACGACGACGACGACGACGACGACGACGACGACGACGACGACAAGACGGATCAACGACCTCCCCTACGGCCCATGCCCATCCCGACACCAGGCACGGGGACTTGCAGGCCTGTTCGCACTATAGCGTGTTTGAATAACACAACAGACCCGACAATATGGATGCCCAGTTCACGGACGACGAGAAGGTACATATTTGTTCCACTGAGATAGATCCTGCCGTTCCATCGACAGCAGACTGACTTAGGCGGCGCTATAGCGGTTCATTCTTTCCGAGATGATCAAGCAGAGCAGGCTTGACGTCGATATCCTCGTCAATCTCGTCAAGGGATTCAAGGAATTTGAACCAGACTGGCTAAAGATGCCCCTGCCCCATGGTACGTATACATGTCCGTCCCCGTGTTCGCCGAGTCGGCTGTTGACTCGTAGCGTTAGGTCGCACTGTGAACCAGTGCCTAGCGGCTGCCGACGCCATGTTCCAAACTACAGTAGAGCGACCAAACCTGAAGCGAAAGTCCATGGGCGAGCTGCAGGAGGTGCCTTCCAAGCGGCGCGTCCTGCCTCCCTCTCCTGGGCACTCAACACAACCATCGACCTTGACACCAGCCGCGCAGCTGCCGGCCCCATCGCTATTGAATCAGTCGTCCTTGTCAGGCAGCGCCCAACATGTCAATATTCGACCGCGCCCCCCAAGAACAGGACCACCCGCTCTTGGTGAAACGCAACTGGTGCCCGCGGCGAAGCGGAGAGGCAGGCCCTCTCGCGCGGACAAGGCTAAGTCATTGCGTCCTGTACTGCCTCAGTTGGCGCCGCGCACCGAGCCGCCTCCTCAGGCACCACATGTCCCAGGGAATTCTACAAGCTCCATGTCCGGCGTGGCAGGATACCCTCACGGTCATATTCAGACTCCTGCAGCCTCGCGGAAATCCTTCAGCGCCTCTCCGGGGCCGCAAACCTCCCCGAAACTTGGGCGGAAGAGAGGCCGGCCCTCGAACGCTGACAAGGTCAACAAGGCGGCAAGTCCCCCCAATAGCGCGCCAGTCCCTGACGCGCTGGATTCTCGACCATCTCTAATTTTCATTGTAGACAGGTGAGGTGGAGGGGGCTCTGGAGTCGTATAACCGAACGCCAAGGTTAGCGCCGCGGGAGACAGGCGTCACATCATCACATGGAACACAACAGGCTTCACGGCGACAGCCCGATTCGCCCCCCATTTCGGGGCCTTCGCCTTCGCGGGAGAGGGTTTTGGCTCCTATGCAGCCACTTCAGCAGGAGGGGCTTGCACGATAGCCCTTGGTGGCAGCTTCATTGGAGACACATTTTGGGCCGATGGTCCCCCATTGAAGAGTCGCGGGCTGGCTCCCTCGCTATACCAAATCCATCCCGGGCAGGCTCTCGTCCCTGAACATGGTTTCTGGTCAGCACACAGACGTGGAGGGCCAGGCTACTCATGCTTTTACGGGACTCTGTTTGTGCTCCTGCGCCGGAAATCTGGTACCATCGGACCATTCTGCCCACCACCGAGACCTAAAAGTCCGACGCTCTCAGCCTACACTGCCTTTGTCACGCGTCCACGTTGCCCCCAGGGATTGGCTGCTACTTTGGAAATTAATACCCCCGAATCTCACAGGGCACAGGCTTATCGGCATAATTCGTGGGAACCGCGAGGTCAGGGTGCTGGGTTTTCAGCAACCGACTATTTACATTGACGTTGCAGTATAGAGAAGGCTTACTTGGGTTTTCTGTTGAGAAAAGAATTTGCACCTCGGAAAGGGTCATGAACCTTTCTGGACGCCAACCCTTGCGTCAGTTCTGGTATCCTTCAGGGTAGTCAAGCTTTGTTTCTGTCTTGGAGAGGTGGGAAGGTGGCATCTGTGCCAAGCCCAGACTCTCTCCTCCATATACCTCGTATGCATATCATACACTTAGAATCACCACAGGGGGCAAGCAGCCTTATCACACCAACTAATCGCATTCGACTAAGGAACGCCTTAGTCACTATTCAGCTGCAGTTGAATTGAAGCTTTCTGCTGGATACCGAGCAACAACAGGCCTTCCTTTGGTAGATCGACTGAGTTAAGACTACTGACTTATTACTAGCTGGCTACGTAGGCAACACTCTGAACTACCTTATATTAAGCAGCCACCACACAACATGTCACTTACCACCTTCGCCTCATTTTTCTTTCCCTCGGACTCGAGTGACGAAATCCAATATCGGATTTCATGTTGCCATCGATGCCAGGCTTATCCATTCCCCTAAAGTGTCTTAATACGACAGTCCTCCGCGTCAACGTACGAATCATTCATTTCTGACCCGGCTGGTTTGGAGTGTGGCCTGGACTGAATTGCTCCTTGCTCCTGGCACCCTCTCCGAACAGGACCAGCGCTATAAGATGCCCGCGAAAACCGATGACTAGATCGTCAAAGTACACCACCTCCACTTCAAGTACAAACCAGCCATAGCAAAGCCGTTTCTAGACAACAGTTCATCCAGAACGACATTCTCGCTACCTGGACCGGACCTTCTGAGGAGATCACCGAAGAATAAATAAATAGCTATATGAATATTAATGTACTGGTGGCAAGGACGATTGCTATTCGGCCAACCTTTATGAGCAAGATGATTTTTGATTCGCGTGTTATCAAACTTTTAGACGCCAACACTCGCTTTTGTTCTCATACCCGTGTTGTAGTCGAACTTTTGCTCTATCTTCGATGAGGTTAAGTAAATTAATGATTGGGTTGCCACTATGCATGTATACCTTGACTCGTACTCCCAGTCCTAGATGGCAATCCCAAGGGCGTCGGCCTTCTTGCAGGGCATAATGTATGCCGGCTATCAGACTGCAATGGCCTCCTCCATAGCGCTGGCGGATAAGGGCTTGACCTGTAAGGGTTAGTCGGCGAAGAGACGCAGAAGAATCGGCATAAACTCACAGAGCAGCGCAGCGAAAGAGCCATGAGGGCACGGGTCGACGAAGTCTCAGCAAGAATCACTGCTATAGTGAGCAAAGAAGAGCCCAAAGCCGTTAGCACAACTTACAGCGTCGGGTTGTTGACCGCAGTTCAAGGGGTCGGCGCCTCAATAGGCTACCTTCTTAAAGCATTCAATCAGCTCGGCGAGCCGAGCAAGATACCGGGCTCACTTCTTGGGGGTGCAGTTGTTCAGACTGACGAGACCTTGGTCGGTCAACTACAGGGCGACGCGGCGCTAAATGTATTGGGCGAGTCCACGAAGAGGCTTGGAAACCTTCACATGTTAGCAGACGTTAAGGGAATGTTCGGCGAACTTACGAAGAGGCATGCGCCCTTGTCATACTCCAACAGGCATGGAAAGGACGACCAAGCTAAATCCTCGGAGGCAATTGCCTTACATGCAGGCAAGGTGAGTAGATCATCGACACACTTTGGGGTCTGTTGAGACACTCTCTCTATTTTATTCCTGAGAGTATCGAGCTTCCCTTCCACCTTGGGTCATCCCTATCAATTGCCACAACGCCTCAGCTAGGTTCTCTACCTTGTCCACCTACCTACCTTACCTCAGGTACCGACCGACCTGAGCATTGAGTATCGTAGGCACATTAGTGTCTTGCCTTCCCAACCTTGCAATTACCACCACCTATATCACCATCAACCATCCCGCCCACCAACTATCTAATATGGTCGCCACTAGGACAAATCCCGTCACGCCGACGCAGATGGAAGAGTCCAAGGCTGCGTTGATGGGGGTTTTCGACGACTCTCGTACCACGCAGGTAGCTGCTGAGCCAGTGAAGCCCATTCTTCAATGTTCGCGAGAGATCAAGGATCCCACGCATGTCTCGGTAGTCGGTATGCCTCGGCTGTAGGAGGAGCCATCGCAAATGGTAGACGTACTTCCTCGACGCTTAGAAGTTCCTTGCTCCGTGAGAAGCGATATTAACGCCATGGCCCTCGAGCCGCCTATTTCTACTGGAGAGTTTGCCGACCATCATCTGGATGAATATCGCAACTTCTCCTTCACCCTCATGCAGTTTTCTGTGTTTCTCTGCATGGACCTGCGACAGCTAGGAAGGCTATACTAGGATTCCGTAAGATCGTTCTGGTTTGATCAGCTGCGCCCTATCGAGGCACTTTTTGGAACCTGTTCGTAAATACATCATTGTCCGGGTTTCTTCCTCCTGATCCCCCCAACCCCCGTCTGCCCCGCCTCCCCGCCTCCGCCGTCTCGTCCTTTCCTCTTCTCTTTAATTTAGTCCATCTTGTATCTTGTATGATCTTTCAGTAACCATTCAATCTTGTTCTACTTTGAAACTAGGAAACCTTTACACTCTAGCCTTAGTTAAAAAGCCTTGACTCATTAGTTATGATAAACCTCCAGAATTCGCCTGATGCAAAATTGAAGAAATCATCCTTCAAGTCCGATTCCCAAAAGGCTTGCCATCTCAAGGCTGCGGGTGACAGATCTGTCAGACGAAGCACTACAGAGCGAGAGATAGTATGTTATGCCCGGCTGGTGATGATACTCCAAAACAAAACTGGACGACCGGGCCTATTATGACAATAGAGAATACCAAAGCCGACGAGGTCTATAGCATCAACCTCAATGCAACTACGTGCTGTGTCATGTCGGTGTGTCATTTGCATTTCAGAAACTTTGTATGTGCACGCAAAGAGGATACTGTAAAAACATTGATGATTTGGTCGTCACTACGTATGTACAAAGAAAGTAAGATGCCTACCTACATAGGTAGGTACCACAAGGGGAAGCCACATTCTTTGAGTAAGCGGATGCCTTGCAGGCAGGGCCAGTGAATGAACGACAATTTCCCCCCCCCTCTTTTTCTTACCTACCTTGAGGTGCCTTCCTATTTTGATGAAGCTCGCCCTTTCCTACTTAGGCGCTCAACTCCCAACAAGTCTCTACCTTCTTCAACCATCCATCCTTCTATTCCCACAACACACACTCGCAGATATCACCAACCCAGAAATTTGTCAAGATGGTTACCTGGGAACTTTCTCTCACGGAGAAGAACCGCGAAGACTACCTAAAAGCGCTCGAGGAGTTTCTGGATCGTTCGACTACGACCAGGCATGCCTTCCATTCGGGGCTTGACTGGCATCGATCCACGCGAGCTATCAACAACCCCAATCGTGCGTGGGATGTCAACGATGCTCGGCGACCAGAAGAGCAGCAATCTCAGATCGACGCTGAGATTCCTCGGCGGCTAGCGATCGCTTGCTGTGTGCAAGCGAAGATTCGTTCCATACCTGATGAAGGTACTATTTACCTAGAGGAGCTGCCTGGTTGGACGGAGGACGAGCTTCGCAACTTCTCTCTCAACATGATGCAGTTTGCTCTTTTCTTCTGCGTCAGCCTTTCGCAGTTGGAACAACGGCTGGATGATTATGAAGTAACATGGTGGTGTCAACAAATGAAGGCTGTCGAGCCTGCACTATGCCACTGTAAGCTCTTCTACCTTCTCCTATCGTCACCACAGTCATCTCCGTCTGGCCTTCATGGCCGTCGTCCCTCTATTGTCCCCCGTCCCTCTATTATCCCCCGTCCCTCTATTATCCCCCGTCCCTCTATTATCCCCCGTCCCTCTTTCGTCTCCCGTCCCTCTATTATCCCCCGTCCCTCTTTTGTCCTCCGTCCTGTCTTCCCTATATCTTATTTTATATCACGAAATGAGCTGGGCTAACGAAATACAACAGTCCTTCAGAAGAAATATCCCCAGCTAGAGGACGAATCAGACTTGGAGTCTGAATCTGAATCTCAAGCCCCGTGGACTCCCAACAGACAGGCCGCAGCCACTGGGGCCGTTGGCCGAGTTGATGCCCAGCGAAAAGCGGCGAAAACACGCGACAGAAATCGTTGCTTATTTACAGAATCCCCATCAGTGGATGTTTGTCACATCTGGCCCTTCGCTGTCAACAACTCTCCCTTCAAAGCGATGACCCTACGGCGAGCTTTGGTAAAGTTCTCTATCGCCAACTTCCCTGGAAGCGGTTTCACGGACCTCATCCGCTTTCTATGCCCCGGAGACGAAATCGCAAGCTCCGACATGGCCTGGAACATGCTGACCATGGCACCGACACAGCACCGCGATTGGTCCAGAGTCCGGTTCGGCCTGAAATTTGTCGACAACTCCGTCAAACCGTTGGATACAAACGCAGCACGTGGTGACGGTGCTAGTCGGACTGGACAGAAGAAGAAAGCAACCGAAGAAGCTCCGGAGACGCCAAAGGCAAAGGCCGCGAAGCAGCCAGAAGCCAGGGTCAGCACTCGCTTGTCCAGAGAAACGGGCTCCGCAGAAGGTCCCAATACCGAGGGCAGCGACACATCTGAGTGGTCAAGCTACTCAGTCGAGCTACATTGGATGCCAAGACGTATGGTGGAAGAGCTAGCGAAGCATACCACCGATTCCAGTGAGGGCCTCTGCTACAACAAGATGAAACTCGATTCCGAGGAAGAGAAAGAATTGGTGACGGCTACACTGAGCGACATCTTCACGAACAAAGACCTCACAGGCCATGAACCTACAGGCAAAGATTCGCCTGGCACGGATGATACCTCTCCCAAGGAGACCAAACCGATTATGTGGGATTCTTCGGGCCGGCCAGTCGAGTCTGGCCACGTTTTTACCTTCCGAGCTGCCACCGCAGATATGAAGAAGACCGAGGCGATGATTCGGAGTCAGTGGCTGATGATCAAGCTGGCCGCCTTGTCTGCCGCCGCCGAGTCCGTGAACATTCTGGACAGAAGACCGCCCTTCGGCCCCATATCTCCAATTTGGCAGAGGAACTCTCAGGGCGAGTTTGTTGTTCTTCCACCGCCACCCGTGCAGACTACCCCACAGCCCGAAGCTCAGGAGACGAAGAAGGAAGAAGAGTCTTAGAAGGTTCCTTCAACCCCTTTGCCTGCCCGCATTGAGACGGAGAGCACCACAACCGTCGAGACTGCAGAGACTCAAGCGGACAAGCCGACGTCTCTTACCAAGATGCAGATTCTCACAGACGAATGGCTCGAAGCGGCTCAAGCGGAAAAGCTGGCGACTCTGACCGAGACGGAGATGATCACATCCGCCATGCCCGAAGAGGCTCAAGCGGAGAAGCTGGCGATTCCGACCGAGACGAAGAATCCCGGGCCCAAAGAGACCCGCCAGGAATTGTCGACGACCGTCGCTGAGACGGAGGCCCCGTCACACGAAGGCCCTGCGGCCCCAACGCGGACCAAGCGAGCCAAGGAACACGTCAAGACGCTCGCCCACAGGGCCATGTCCATGGTGAGCATGCGGTCCAGCGCGCAACACGAGAAGCAACCGGCCAAGACGGGAGGAGGCCTGCAGGCGATGGAGGCGGGAGGACAGATGGAGTCCAAGGCCAAGGTGCCAGAGCGAGTCTCCAGTCTTGCCACTGGGCAGCCCGCAGGCGAAAGAAAGGCATCGGGTCTTGTGGGCAGGATGCGTGTGGCATCGAGCGAGCTGCACAAGCTTGCGGACCGAACCAAGTCTGTCATGAAGAAGTGAGAGCGGAGGGGGGGAGAAAGGAGTATTGTGGTCTGGCATGCAGTATTGTATTAACTAGTCAATAGCTTTCTTATAGTCCGTCGCTTGTCGAAGATGAATCACTACTTGTAATTTTTTTTTCCTAAACAGAAAGACACATCAAGAAGACACAATCGTCTCCAGTGTCTCCAGCAGGATATCCGCATGGCCCTCCTCAAACACCAGCATGGGCCTCAACCGCACGGCGCTCGCGCCCGAGCCGCCAATGTTGACGCCCAGCGTCTTGGCCGTCTTGAGCACCTCGTCGCGGCGCGGGCTGTCGAAGGCGATGAAGGTGCCGCGGTCCTTGCCGCGCAGGTTGGCGACCTGGTCGGGGTACTTGGCGGCGAGACGCTCGAGGCCGGCAAAGAGGTGGGCGCCGACCTGGGCGGTGCGCTCGACGAGGTCGTGGGCGCGGACCTCGGACAGGATGGCGCGGAAGAGGAGGGCGCGGGCGGGGTCGCCCATCCACGTGTTGAACTGGCGGTAGGGCAGGTTGGGGCGCAGCTCGGGGTTGGCGTAGTAGTAGCCGGCGGCCTGGGCCTTTTTGGAAAAGGTGACCATGTCGGGCGGCGTCTGGAGGTGCCAGTGCTCGTGGGCCCAGAGCTTGCCGGTGGCGCCGAGGCCCGTCTGGACCTCGTCGACGATGAAGAGGACGTTGTGCTTCAGGGTCAGGTCGCGCAGGCCGCGGAAGAAGGCCGGGGAGGCGTGGTTGTCGCCGCCCTCGGACTGGATGGGCTCGACGATGACGGCGGCGGGGGGCGCGGGGTGCGTCTTGATGAGGTGCTCGACCTCGGCGAGGGACGCGGCTTCGGCGGCCTCGTTCTCGGCGACGTGCTGATCGAGGGGATACTTCAGCAGCGGGAAGGTGGCCTGGGGCCAGTCAAAGGCGGGGATGTCGAGCTTGTGGATGGGCTTGGACCGGGTCGTGGAGAGGGAGCCGAAGAGGCGGCCGTGGAAGCCCGTCTTGAAGGAGAGGATGGACAGGTTGGCGGCGCCGGGGCTCGAGTTGTTCATGGAGGATGAGATCTCCTCCTCGGTGAAGGGCACGTTGGGGCCACCACGCTCCTGCTGGCGGCGGTACATGAAAGCAGCCTTGTATGCCGTCTCGTTGGCGTCGGAGCCAGCCATGGCGGTGAAGACCTGGTTGAGGCCGGGGGGCGCGGCCTTGAGGATGCCGGAGCGCAGGATCGAGGCCCAGTCGTGGGAGGGGAAGTTGCCGAGGGCGGGCCGGTTGACGATGGCGTTGACCATGTCGGGGGTCTTGGCGGCGGCGATGAGGGCAGGGTTGTTGTAGCCCAGGGGAATGGAGGCGATTTGGGCGTAGACATCGAGGAGGACGTTGCCGTCGGGGTCGGCGATGTAGTTGCCGATGCTCTTGGTGTAGTCGGTCAGCATGTTCAAGCTGCGCGTGTCAAAGACCTCATGGAGGTCCTCAATGTACTTCTTAGACACGGGCCCCGGAATCTCCGTCTTGACGGTGGGACGAGCAGGCTCTTCGGGGAACAAGGACGATGCGGCGCGGGCGAAGGAGACAGAGAAGGCTCGAGCAGGGAGTCTGGAGACAGCGGGGTGCCTCGCGGCACGAGTGGCCGGGCGCAGCAAGGACGACGCTCGCAGAGCAGCCATGATTGCTATGTGGTTTGTTGGGTATCTATGGTAAGCAGCCGGCTGGGTACCCCGCGAGATGAATTGGCAAAGGCAAAGTTCACGAGATGAGATGAGGGGTGTTGGAAGAAGG